AGTAAAATGACACAGTTTGAACCATTAGTTCGGTGTTTCTTCTACATACCACTAGAGGGAGCCTGTGAACCACTGACGCTCGTAGTATCGTCACTGATTTCCAAAAAGCGACGTTTACTCTATATGTATAAGCTTTTGTAAAACTTTTAATTATTATCATTTTATGTTTGAACATTACAGTATTGTCTTTGATGTTAAAGTTACCTAAATTATATTCTCTTTGATAATTTCTTAAACATGTTGATGTTGAGAGCGTCTGATTGGCTGAAGGAAACAGGAAGTGTTTTACGTGTTGCGGTGCAGACGTCTTTTTGTTCTTCTCAATAAAACTGCTTTCAAAGGATTCCATTTCTCCTTTTGCCGTTCGTAAAGTAGAGCTAACCACTAAAAACAACGAACCCCTCAACTTACATATGCATTCAAGCAGATGGCAAGGAAGCACTTTTGCATTTTAATACGCCATATTCCGCCCTACAGCCAGATTGCTAATGGCTAATAACCTCAAGTATAAGTGTTGACTCGGCGTTTTCGAAAGGCAGTGTAATATACGGTATTATCCACTCCGGTGTCATCGTCACTTGTCCCCGATTATAATGCCCGATAGCTGTATGAAATAACACCATGAAGAAAATATATAACGCGCCTGCGTGGTTGTCACGCGTGAGCAATCTGTTGCGCCAGATGTCCTTCAATAATAGTCTCTTGACTTATTTACATTTTGTGAGAAACAAAAGCCCCCCTGATGGTACCGTGTGATGTGCCATTACCGCGATTAAAGCGGCGGTGGCAATTTGGCTTTGTTATAATAACGAGTTCTATTCAGGAAGCGCTGCCTAATTTAGAATACCGAGTCGCGCATCGGCAGGCTTTACGAGTGTTTCCTGACAGCGTCAAGTAGCAGGTGGCGGCGCATTATGAACAAGTTTGATCAAGGGTTTTCCCTTGGCCAAAAAAATAAATAAAAAAATTTGGCTGGTTGAAATCTCATTCGAGTTTCTAATTTCTTTTTGAGATTGAGTTTGCATACAAATACATACATTTTTACATAATTCCCGTGTGCTGCCATCTCCATAGTAAGGAATCAGATTAAAGTGGATCCTTGGGCTGCTATTGATCGAAAAGTGCTTTATAAAACATGTGGCAAGAAAAATCAATGACTGTGTGACCATGTCAGGGGATTTATCCGGTTAGTATGAGGGGTCATGAGGGACATAATTTAGGATTACTTCACATACACAACTAAAACTTCCATACACAACCTAAAAAAAAATGGAATGTTACCAGTACTGTTTTTTTTCCTCACTCATACAACAATAATGTCATTTCTTTGTCCATATATATCGTAATGCTTTTGTGTGACTTGTGAAAGCATTCAAGTTTTGCACATGAAAGGATTTAAATTTTGTGTGTGTGTGTGTGTGTGTGTGTGTATAGAGTGGCTGAGTCGTGTTTGAGAGCGTTTTGGAAGAGTCTTTGAGAGGTAATCCTGAATTACATCCATGACGGCTCCTCTTACCCCGCTGGCTCAAATCACAAAGAGTTGGCCATGGTAAGGAATACATCGGCGGTCGGTCAGCGTATACGCCAAGATGCGCAAACCTGTCAACAACAGCTGACGCTTGAAAGGCTCCATCAAAGGCGGGGTTCCGCCCAACTCGTTTTTGAAATGGGATGTTAACAGCAGCACAGTGTAATTTAATCATGTCCTCCACTCATCTTGTTTTGCCTCCTTCAAGGACAATTGCGGCAAAATAATAAATCGCATGAATGCCTTAAATGTTGTAAATTACATTTCGCTTCCATTTATAAACAATACAGAGTGTAATTTGAGTTTGTGATCCTCGTCATCATATTTGGTTCTGGAATGCTTTAACGAGTTTTATTGCACCATGCACAGATTGAACGGAACCAGTGCCTGAGAGAGCAAAGCATCCCCAAAACTTAACCAAGTTTCACAGTAGGCTCAGTGTTTCCTTTTTTTTGTGGTAGTCAACATGGAGTTTGTTGTGCAACTCAAACAACAACAAAAAGCACTTAAATACAAATGCATAAGGGGTGATGATTCAAGTCAGGCGTCAGTATTCGAAGTGACAAGCTCAGCCAGCCGGCAGCCATGAAGCCTTCACGTGTCACAAAAGATGTCGTCACCATGTGCCGCGTTTAATTGAATTAGCACGGGTTCACAGGCTGGTGTCGTTTCATCCGAGCGGCAGCAACTGTCAGGGAAACCCGATTCCACCGCACTACTTTTAGATTCGGAAATGAGGTGGGCTGCAAAACATGAAAGCAGAGAGCGCGCTGACCCGAATGAACCAGCTCGGAAAAATGAAACATGAGCGCAGTTACCTCTTTATATATTTTTTTAATGGAATGTATCATTTGGAGGTATGAAAATAGATTTTGAAGTAAAAGAAAACTGACGGGAGCAGAGAGGCATGTCAGTGGGGTGCAGCGAAGGCGAGATAAAAGGGCAGAGCTGTGAAGGAGATGACAACAACACTGAGGCATGTGTTAATTCGGCCACCAGACACTCTCGAAAAGGGCTCACACGATCAACATGAGCCACTGGGTAATCAACGCATAGCCACCTTGTGAAGTAAGGCCATTTGAAATTCCTGCCAATGATGACACACGTCCCAAAATAACTTGAGTATGGGTTAATACCTTGCAGATGACACATGGAAAGGGTTTGGAAATTGTTTTGAACTACCCAGTTGTTATCTTGGACTGCAGACTGGTTGCCAGCCAATCACAGGGCACACATAGAGGAACAACCATACGCATTCACACTCACACCTTGGGACAATTTAGAGTGTTCCATGAACCTGACATGCATGTTTTTGGAATTTGGGAGGAAACCGGAGTACACCCGGAGAAAACCCACGCAGGCACGGGGAGAACATGCAAACTCCACACAGGAAGGCCGGAGCTGGAATCGAACCCTGCACCTCTGCACTGTGAGGCAGGTGACCAGTTGTTCACCGCGCCACATTAATCAGTCCTTTAGATTTGGATCTACTGGATTTCTTGATAATATTTTAATACATAGTTTTAAAAAGGGTGTGGCGCACAACCGACAAAAACAACAGCTCGAGCTTTCAAAATACTAAGTCAAATTATTATTATTATTATTTAACTGGCAATGCCATCGTGCACTCTCCACGGCCATATTATTTATTTTTAAAAAAGTCAAGCTCGTAGTTGCTGTTTTAGATCACAAAAACAAAATGTGAATACGGCACTTTTCAAAATATCACCTATGCTACTTGTTCTATCTCGTTAAATTAGTTGAAAACTTTGTCATTAGGAGGAACACTGAGTGAGTGCACCAATTAGAGAGCCCACATTAAGTTCTATTAGCTCGTTATTTGGAAAAAAAAACAAAGGTTTGAAATTAGCTTGGCCTTGCCAAACAACGAGCCAATGTCGTTAGCTATAAAATATAAACAAAAATGTTTGAACTACTAAGTTTAAAATGCCATTCTGAACAAAATCTCCAAATAGTATTTAACAAAAACACATTTGCGGGGCCATGTACGCGTAATGCTAATGACGGGGAAAGCAAAATGCTAAACGCAGCAGCAGCAGCGTGTAGGTTAGCGCCAGGTTAACCCTAAAAACAAGAAATAGTTCACATCTGGAAAGTGTGAACTCGCATGACACGTCTGATTCTTGTGAAAAGGGCGTTTTTGTCAGATAAGCTAACAGGCTTACTGCTAGCATCAGAGCTCGGCCATGTTGCGCATGACTGGCTTTAACAACAATTAAAATGGCAGCTCCTTTTATCAGATATAATAACTCCACTCCTGACACCCCCCCTGACCCCTTTCTGACCCGCTCTGTAGCTATAACATAATCGAAAACCCACGCAGGCACGGGGAGAACATGCAAACTCCACACAGGAAGGCCGGAGCTGGAATCAAACCCTGCACCTCTGCACTGTGAGGCAGGTGACCAGTTGTTCACCGCGCCACATTAATCAGTCCTTTAGATTTGGATCTACTGGATTTCTTGATAATATTTTAATACATAGTTTTAAAAAGGGTGTGGCGCACAACCGACAAAAACAACAGCTCGAGCTTTCAAAATACTAAGTCAAATTATTATTATTATTATTTAACTGGCAATGCCATCGTGCACTCTCCACGGCCATATTATTTATTTTTAAAAAAGTCAAGCTCGTAGTTGCTGTTTTAGATCACAAAAACAAAATGTGAATACGGCACTTTTCAAAATATCACCTATGCTACTTGTTCTATCTCGTTAAATTAGTTGAAAACTTTGTCATTAGGAGGAACACTGAGTGAGTGCACCAATTAGAGAGCCCACATTAAGTTCTATTAGCTCGTTATTTGGAAAAAAAAACAAAGGTTTGAAATTAGCTTGGCCTTGCCAAACAACGAGCCAATGTGTTAGCTATAAAATATAAACAAAAATGTTTGAACTACTAAGTTTAAAATGCCATTATGAACAAAATCTCCAAATAGTATTTAACAAAAACACATTTGCGGGGCCATGTACGCGTAATGCTAATGACGGGGAAAGCAAAATGCTAAACGCAGCAGCAGCAGCGTGTAGGTTAGCGCCAGGTTAACCCTAAAAACAAGAAATAGTTCACATATGGAAAGTGTGAACTCGCATGACACGTCTGATTCTTGTGAAAAGGGCGTTTTGTCAGATAAGCTAACAGGCTTACTGCTAGCATCAGAGCTCGGCCATGTTGCGCGTGACTGGCTTTAACAACAATTAAAATGGCAGCTCCTTTTATCAGATATAATAACTCCACTCCTGACACCCCCCCTGACCCCTTTCTGACCCGCTCTGTATATCAGATATAATAACTCCACTCCTGACACCCCCCCCCCACACCCCCTTTCTGACCCGCTCTGTCGCTATAACATAATCGACAAACATTAAGTACAGATTTAAGACTTCTATACAGGCTAACGTGGCTAATTATCCTGTTCGTTAAAACAAGCAAAATGGCGTCTGGAAATGAATCTTTGGTTTGATGATTCCGACCAACCTGTTAATAAGACAACAACAGTACAAATAAAGGCTTCCTTCCAATAAATGGACTTGCCGTTGAACACAGTCATAGAAAAAAAAGATATATACACGTCTAATAAATAACTGCACGGTCCAACGCACTTTGTTTTCTCACATGCTTCTTCGTTAGTCCATGAGTCTTTAGTGGAGGAAGTCCGTGTGTCAGTGGGGGTCAAAAGGGTTCCGTGGAAATATGGATCGAGTAGCGGAGCTTGTCCTGGAGAATTAGGGGCTGATGCCGCAGGGGTGGGAGTCGATATACAACGTCCAATGTCCAATTAACCTGTGAACAGAGTCAATTATACACATTGCTACAACTTTAAAATGAAAAGTCACTTTATACGTCCACTTCATTACCCAGTTCAATTGTCCAGGCTAAAAGGTTTCCCAAACTGTTGTTGGTGAGACTATTAATCAGGCTAATGGGTTTATTGTTCTTTTTAGCTTTCGTTTACATACATAAACTGGCGATGGGACTAAATTCCTCATTTGGCAGCAATGGAAAATGGAAAAATGTTAAAAAGTGAGATTCAACGGACGTACGGTAGATGACTAATCAAGCTTTATAGCAACACAAATAATGACTTGGTTTCATGTCGACACCAGCAGAAAAACTCACAGTGAAAGTAATTTGCATGTGTAAACACTTTGCACGAGTTTTTAAAAAAAATGCCATATTAGTATTTGTCTAGCTATAAATCCATCTAGGACAGCACTTCTCAAACATCCACACCAAGTACCACCTTAAAAAATAAATACTATCGCAGAGAACCACTACCACATAAAATCATGACATAGTAGGCCTAAGTGTTCATCACAATTGTGATGGGTTTTATTCTCCAAGGTGCACACCAAAAATTTAGAAACACTTCCCCATTCAATAGCATGAGTCTTTCCCCAAACCTGCATGTGATATTTTAAGCCACTGTAACATTACACCCACAGTGAACATTAACACTGCCATTAAATATTGGAAAATAAAAGCTGTGCTTACATGATTCAATTAATTTTTGTCATACCGGGAGCGGAACTCTGTGGGCATTAGATTCACCAAAATTAAAGAACAATGGCCACTTCCAAGGAGATGGTATGCATGACAAAAATCCGTGATATAATGTGCTGCACTGTTTATGTTTTAGGTGGTCAACAGCCAGGGACCACCGATCCAATTCACACGGGGATTCCCCGGGTCGTACCCAGACCGCCCACCCTGACCCTCCCGACCACAGCCACCACGCGGCTTCCGCTCCTTCCTCTTACCGCAAACGGCGCTCGAATGTCCGCCGGACTCGCCGGGCAGGTCACGCCACGTTGGGCGAGCTCCGCAGCGTCTTGTGGCTCTGACCGGGAACATGCACGACGAGTAGCTGCTGCTTCTGCCGGGTAGACTTGACCGCCAGGATGGCCTGTCGGTTCTTGTACTGGACCATCTGTAAGGTGATCTCCGCGTTCCAACCCTCGTCCTGCGGGCACCTGAAGTCGATCTCCTTCCCTTCGGACATGACCACGGTGAAGTAGACGTACTTGCCCTTGCGCTCCACGCAGTCCACGGTCTTCATGTTGGCGAAGTGGAGCTCCTTGACTTTGCCCGCGTCTTCCCCGCGGTGGTGGTGATGGTGGTGGTGGTTTTGCGGTGGTTGCTGCTGCTGCTGCGGGTGATGATCGTGTTGCTTGGGAGGCAGCAGCAACACGCCGTCCTCGGTCAGGACGCACAGCTTCTTCTTCCACAGCTGCAGCAGGCCGTCGCTCCTCTTCTCCAGCACGCCTTCCTTGAACACCTTCCTGCCGTTTTCCAACATGCTTACTCCGAGCCTGCCACTTTTTATATTCCTTCCCGGGGAGAGGGCAACAGAGGAGGTCTACCCCGTAGAGGGCGAAGGCATACGGGACGCGCAGTTGCGGAGACCTGGGTCGGTCGTGGTGGAAGTGGAGGTTGGTTGTGCTCGACTGGTTGCCCGAGAGGGGCGGGGGAGGGATCGGAACCGCCCACACAGAGAGACCCAACCCACTACAAAATCAAACAGCCAGAAATGCACGTGGGGCACTTTAATAGGTACATTTACTCTCGTTTAATGCTATTTTTTTTTAATTTGGCAGTTTTCTCCACTAAAACCGACTTACCAATTAATCTCTTTACATAATTGGTGTAAATGATTTAAGATGACAAAAAAAGTGAACGTACATTTAATTAAGGTTAGGTGTATCAACAATGAATAAAATTACGTCCAAAAATACTTAAAAATTGTCTATTTTTTTATTTGCCTTATCTACAAATGACCGAGCTAATTTGTAAGTTCCATATCCAAGACACATTGCTAAATTAATATATTTCTAATGGCGTCCATCATTAAGTACAATACTGTAGTTCTTTTCAAGGCAGAATTTTCTAATGGAATATGACGTTAAAAGCCAATTGGACCTCAATGCTTTTTTTATCATTAATATGGCTACATTACAAAAATTATTCTTGCATTATGAACTTAATATTTCCACTGACACAAAAGATTTATGTTCTTGAACGTTTATTTACATCTGAACGACATCGCTGCATTTTCTTTTTTTTTCTCCCAAATCCAAGTTTGTGTAGCTTGATATAAAGGCAAGAGCGCCCTCTGCTGACTACAGGAAGATGTTGTACTCCATCTGGACACGCAATAATCATCCACACGCGTCAACTTGGGACAAGTCATGTGTAACCGATTTATTCATGAACATACACATACACTAATTGAGTACATCAGTATTTTTTTTTTTTTTTGCCGCATAGCGATTTGCCGAGACAACAGCCGATGTCCTGGCAAAAATAGCCATCTTAGCAACTGAAATAGTTGCCCTTCTGATTTTGAACATCGCTCCTGTGGCCTTTTAGCGGTACACCCAAAAAGGTGGGGATGGAGGGGGCCAGGGGGGGGGCCTTGTCACACATTCCCTCGTTTTCATTCACAGTGATAAACAGGAGTTTTGTTGTCAGTAACCAGAGATACAGGAGGAAAGTGAGACGCTAGTGTGCTACGGAGTGTCAATCAAGATGACCAAGTATGCCCGCAAAGTGGTGAGGGAGGGGGGTGGGATCACAAAATAGAGTCTGAAGCACAAAATGGTGGACCCTTGTGGTAGTTTGTTTCATACCCTGGTTTTTGTTCAATTCCTTGAGTGTTTCACCAATGGACCCCCGATCGTGTTGTTTACTGGAATGTTTTGGTACAGGACTATGGACTCTACAGCTGAAGCTCAGTATAAAGGCCCACCGAGAAAAAAGATAAAAGGGGGGTGGAATGAGTTTGATCCGGTCTCAATCACAGCTGTTGTCTAAGAGCAAATACCACAAAAAGACTTCACAAGAACTAGTTTAGTAGTGAAGATCATGCTTTTTTTTTTAAACTTGTTTTTTTTTTGTCCTTTCTATTGTACAGAAGAAAAAAACAGGTCTAGTAAAATACTATATAACGAGCCACACGGCCCAAAGTATTATTACCGTGTTTTTATTAAGGTTCTTTTGTAACCAAAACCTTGAAACCTTCAAATTGTCTACCAAGAAAAATACAAAAACATTATAAGGCGGTAAGTTACTAGTTTTTTGTTTTGTTTTTTTATAATATATATATTTATATATGTACGTTTTCCCCTGTTTGTTTGTTGTTGTTTTTTTTTTTTAAATCAAGTTGTTAACAGTGCAGTTGGATCCTGGAGGCAGCGAGGCCACACTTCACTGAGGCTTGCACTCAGCTGGGGAGGCCGTGTCCTTCTGCAAGAGACCAAGAGGAACGCGACATTGAACAAAGCTGAGCAAGTACCACAGACAACACTTCAAACAATCCAAACAAAGCGAGTAAGAAGCCTAAAAGAAGCTCTATTATTCGCTTGAAAAAAAAAAAAAAAAATTGATGGCGCTGGGGGGCATGATGGAGTCATGAATTCTTCCCTGTATTCCATGCAACAAAATTATCCTTGCCAGTAAATGCTTGTTTTAATTGTTGAATTTAACAGAATGGAGTACTGTTGTAACACAATATTCCACCTTAACAGCAATAGATCAGTCGTGTGGCCGAAACACATCTTTGGCCGAACTTGAGTTTTTGCTTTTTGTGTGGGATAAGGATTGATCCCAGAGGCCCACCGAAAACAGCTTTGAATTGCCCATTGATGCCACAAGATTGTAAGGACTTTTTTTTTTCAATTAGAGAAGGCAATGGCTTGACTAAAAGCTTCTCCCTTCAGTGAGTTTTCTGTGGATTTGTTCGTGTGCTTAACAGCGTCTATTTAAGTAGGGGCCATTGCCAATTAGCTTGCGTTTGCCGCGCAAAAACGGACCGGAAATTTTATTTCAGGCTCATGTACTCGGAGAAACACGGGAGAATGAATAGCACTCAAGTTTTGCAGTCACAGCCAAATGCTCAAGTCGAAACAGAGGGTGTTAAAAAGCGTGCGTTGGCATTAATTAAAATCTCATCGTCAGGGGGTGGGGGGATGGGGCGTCCTTCCAGAGGTGATGGCAGCTGCTCAGTGAGTTTTCTGTGGGCGTGTGCCATCCACACTGGAGATAGATTGGATGCTGCTCAACTCTTGCAGGTTGGCAAGTCGGTGCTCGACAACTCGTGTTTTAACCTTGCGGCAACCAATTTTTGGGCAAGTTTGTAATTCTCTCTGGTTTCACGCACTTGGCAGCAATCAATGAGAAAGGGAGGACTAAACGCAAGGATGAAATGGATCAATGATGTTCCCAACACACGCAGCCAAACAACAGAAAGCAAACAATTTTGCCAAAACTAAAATAAAAAAATGACTGGAACATGAACAAAAAGACTAGCTTCAACAGACAGAATCCCAACAGGTACAAATGCGGCGCACACTATGGGTTAAACTTTGCCAAAAAATCCAAACCAATGAGTTAGTGAGGAGCGGGCATGGCAGCAAGACAGATGAAGAGCACCCAAAACAAAAATTAAAAAGATGGTGAAGGATGGGATGGTGGTGGTAGTAAGCCGACAGTTGACAAGCTGTACCTACCGGGACAGGGTTATTTTTCTACTGTCACCACTTAAACCTAGTGAGGAAAAATTTAAAGAGGAGCTGACAAAGGTATGCCCAAAAAATGTGACCGATCAGAGATGAAGACAACAATGTGTAAAGGAGAACGCAAAAAAAAAAAAAAACAAAAAATTAAAAAGCACAGAAAGAGTGTAAAGAGCAGCATGCTTGTGGTGTTGGAACTGGAAACATACAAGACAGTGGATGTGGCAGTTTTCTGACATGCGCAAAAGTGGTGACGAGGTGTAGTTGTGTTCAAAATAATAGAGTCGCACTGTTTTTGAAGAAACTGCAAAATCTGCAAAGCTTTTTTGGCGTGTGTGTTTCTTTTGGGAAAGCAGAAATGTGGAAAATTGCATTCAACACATGCAAGGACACCAACTGACCAAGTGTCATCAGGTGGCTTGATGAAGTGCTGCCTTTATAAGTGAGAATACAACCAGACCTATTTGGTAAAATTATCCATTGGTGGTTGGCAAACAAAATATTCATTTGTGGTCCTGAGACAGGGAATCGCCAATAACACCAAAAATTGGCTAGAATTGCCCGTTGCTTTTTTTTGTTTGTTGGGAAAACGAGTACAAGACTTGGCAAACTGAGGAGCTCTTCCTGTTTCATGCCGCTTCTCTGTGGCCATGAAAGCTGTCATCTGCATTGACATGACAGACCCCGCCCCCTAAAACAGACTGCCGCCTGCTACGATTTTGAACACAACGAAAAATATGAAGTCGTTCAAGGGATGGCGGTGAAGAGTCTGAATGAGGGTCACTTTAGCCGAGGAGCCAAATTAAGGCGACAAGCAACCCAAGCTGAAGCCATGAGATGCATTCGGCAGGATGGATTCTGTATTTTGAATAGACACGAGCAGTTCTCGGGTCTCCCAGTGGGCTTCGATGGCACTTGTGACATGGAGGGACATGAAACTAATGACCCCCGGGTTGTAAGGGTGCAGAGATGTCACGAGCGAGACATTGAGAGCTACCGTGCGGGGGGACCTCACCTTGGGATCGTAGTCGGGGTCATTCTCCTCGTCGGCTTCCTCCTCGCCTTCCTATAAGATACAAACGGAACCATTTGACGTGCGGCGCCGACTTCCAAGAACGGCGGCCATTTTAGTGCAAATCACGTGCAGTCTCACCTCGTCGTCAGCCTCCTCCCCCTCTTCATCGTACTGCAAAACACACCAAAGTGCCTTTACTACCGTGTCATTTTTTTTTGGGTCACCGTTCACTCATTGAAAATCTTTGCAAGCACCTCAAGACCTCAATGAACTAAAAAAAACATGATGGGATAAGAGAAAGAATACACTGAATTCATGTCGTGACTTGCCATTAATATCATTGAGCTGAATAATCTAAAACACAGGTGTCAAACCCAAGGCCCGGGGGCAGATGTGGCCCGCCACATTATTTTATGTGGCCCGCGAAAGCAAATCATGTCAACTTGCTAAAACCTGGACCAAAATTTTGTAACACTGTAATTTTGTGACTCTGTTTCCATCCACTGGAACAATAATTGAATAAACTATTATAATTGACTTGACTGATTTTGTGGTTTTACTGTCAAAACAGCCCTCCGAGGAAGACGTGATTCAAAATTGGCCCGCGGCTAAAATGACTTTGACACCCCTGATCTAAACTATCCCGAGGAAGTTCTACATGACATTTTTTTAAAAAAAAAAAAAATCTCCAAATGTGGTCATTTTAAAAAGAAACCTTGCCACGCCCCACCCCCTCGACTCCCATTGCTAAATTTGACATTTGAAGAAGCACTTACGTCGTCGTCGTCATCTTCGATGGCCTCTCCCGTGAAGTACAACACCGCCCGGGGAACGATGCGCTCACGGATGAAGTGGCCAATCTCAAAGTCGGCTGCCAAGACCGCCTCGGAGTCCTCATCCTGGAGAGTGATCGAATGGGACTCCATTGGCTTATGAAGACGGATAAGTGACATCCATTTTTTTTTTTTTGAAAAGCACTTACCAACTCTCCGTTTTCAGGGACTGTTGGGGGGGGGCGAGACAAAAGCACATGAGATCAAAACACACCACAAAAAGTGGGATTGTGGTGAGCATAAGCGTACCCTCTGGTGGCGTGAAGAAATTGAAAAAGGAGTCATTGGGGACCGTTTTGGTGATTGTCCTGACGGTGCCGCGGCCCTTGTGCTTCTGCTTCTTCTTGATCGTTTTCAACGTGACGTTCTTGCCCTTTGTCCATTCGATCGTGGAGCTGGCGGTGGCCGGAGAAACAGAACTTTGGGTTTAAGCCGCCAAAACAAAACGCATTTTGCTCTCGGTGCACTCGTTCACTCACCCCGTGCATGAGATGATCTCGGGTCCGTCAAAGGAGAAGGGGTCGCTCTCGTCGGGCTCCGACCTCATTTTGTAGGTTTTCGTCAACACTGTGTTTGTGAAGAAGTCGTTGGGCTCAAAGTGGAACTCTAACCCGAAGCTCTGGAAGGAAGATCAAAAAAAAGAGTGTGATTACCATTTCATTTTTTTCTTTAATTCAAAAAAATAAATAAATAAAATGTAATCAACATTTTGTATTACTCACCATGGGTTGGCCCGGGTCTGAGAATTTCACTTTGATATCTTGTAAATGTTTGAGAATCGGCTCGTCATGTTCCTGAAAAGACATCAATCACCGTGAGCGCGTCTTCTTTTGAAAGAGGCGGGTGGGCGCAGTAGCAGATGTCGGCCAGCAGAGGGAGACAAAACACCACCGAGCGTACCTGCAGCATGTCGCTGAGCAGGTCCACGTTTTTGAACACCGTCAACCAGAACTCCGGGATGCCTTTGGGGTCCTCCTTCTCCTCGTCCTTCTTCTCCTCGTCGAGCTTCGCCTTCTCCTTCATCTCATCCTGCAGCGAGGGTGCAGATTTGCTCATCGGCAAGACAACTTTGTTTACATTGTTGCCCATCCCGCCCCCACGGCCAGAGACGAGAGAGGAAACAAAAAAGAGAAAAAGGAGGAAGACGTGCGAGGATAGACGTCACCTGTACCTGCTTACTTACTGTCAGCTCTTCCTCCTCATCTGCTTTCCACTCGCATTCCTCATCTGTGGGCTCGTACACGGCTTTGACGATGTCACTCCTCTGCGAGACATTTGCCACAACCGATTCGGTCAGTTGGTGAATACAATAAAACAAACCGGCCTCGGCTTGAAATTAGCTCATGTTTACTTCGAGTTCTCGGCAGGTATTTTTGGGGTTGTAACAAAACAAAATTAACAAGAGTGCACCCTTGGAGGGGGGGGGGGGGGGGGGAGAGATTTGTGGGGT